CTGGAGAGCATTATGCTAAGCAAAATAAGCCAGTCAGAGAAAGATAAATACACATTATCTCACTCATTTGTGGAATATAATGAACAACATAAACTGATAAACAAAAATAGATCCCTAGATAGAGAAGCATCGATCAGACCGTCAAACCTCAGAGGGAAGGCAGGAGAGGGTGAGGGTGGGGTAATAGATCAACCAAAGGACTTGTATGCATGCATATGAGCATAACCAATGGACACAGACAGTAGGGGGGTAAGGGCATGTGCTGGGGGGAGGGAGGGGCCGGGGAGAGGTCAATGGGGGAAAAAGAAGACATATGTAATACAGTGTTGACCTGCTTAAAATATTTAGTGTGTCTATTTATAATTGTTGCCACTCCTGACAAGACTAAATTATTCTACAAAGAGCATCTATTGTCATAATAAAGTAAGCTTTTTACATGTATGAACACCTTTCATCCTCAGAGTAACACCATGAGATAGGCACTGTTATTATTATTCCCATTTTACAAGATGAAGAAATCGAAGCACAAAGAAATTAAGTCCAAGGGGAGAGTTAAACCTTGGCACACTGTTTCCAGAGTTCTAAAATAAAATAGTATGTTATTCTGCCTCACTTATGAGCTCATAATTTCTTAATCTTGTTAAAGTTTTAATTCAAACAAGAAAATAAAAAAGTGAAAAGTAGAAACCCAAAAAATATAGATCACACACACACATATATATAAAATATAAACATACACTATGCAGATCAGACACAAAAATACATAAGGGATTTAAAAGGAAATAAAGAGGGATCATGGAACATTCATTTCCTTTTATTTATATCATAGAAGGATTGATTCTTCTTCCCCCACATCCCTGCCATACTTATTTTGTTTTTAATTTTGGTACCATAAACAAATATTTAGGATACTCTAAATCCAAATAACTAGATCAGTCAAGACTGAATAAATAGCATCCATTTGAAAAGTGTTTTAAAAGGTAAGAGTATTGTACTTCACTTCTAATCACATTCATCTCTTATTATATATTTGATATATAATAAATATCCACAACATAAATACACTCACTGTTAGATAAAATTAAACTTTCCAGAGTCTACAGCAGCTTCACAATTTTAGGTTCTGAAACAAAGTTAATAAAGGTCAAGCCAGGTGTTTTGTAACTGCTTAATTGACATCTAAGCTACAAAACAGTAGTGCTGAAATCAGTTGGGAGGCAATTATCTGCTACAAAGAAAGCAAATAAATGATGAAGGGAAATGAAGTTGTTTAAAAAAATCCAAGCACACATGTACCTTTCTGTAAAAGTGTAATTTGTGAATTTAAGAGAATATTTTATCACATTAGCTCTTTTCTTAAATTTTTTTCCGACAGTTCAATTCCTCACAGAAGAATTCAACTAATGATGGCATAGAATTTTATGAGTGAACCTATGGCACAAATTGATATATTTGCCTTTTCTCTGAGATTGACTTTCTTTATATCTGGAGAAACAATAGTAAAATTAGAGCATGTTATATAATATGAATCATTACATCACAGAACCAGGAAAAACAGAAGAAAGGCATTACTGAAAACTAAAAGTTACATAATTAACCTATCCACTGAAAAACTGGTTTTAATGGATGTGAAATCCTGTTAGCTTATTCAAATTATTGCTTAAGATGCAACAAAAATTGGATTTCTGTGTAAAATTATAGTTTTGACTCAGTCAGAAATGTACAATGGCTTTGGAACATAAACCTAAGTAATTTAAAACATTATCACGGATTTAAATCCATAGCACCTGTTTAATCCCACATGTGTAAAAATAAGCTCATAATATCTTATACCTTCCTAAAGTTTTGACTCAAACAAGAAACTAAAAAGATTCAGAACAGGAACGAAAAAAATTAAAAAAATATATATATAATCAAATATATGAATGATTAATAATGGAAAAATCTAATTTTATCCTATAGTTTAACACTCTCCCCCACCAAAACTTTCCCAAAGCTCCAAGTAAGTAGCTAAATGACTAACTTGAATTTTACTTTTTTTCTCTGTCCAATTACTTTCCAATAGGAACATCCATAAAAATTGCCAAATTACAAATGTAGAAAATGTAACCTCAAAAATTTGTTGTGAGGATTAAATGAATTAGAATTCAGTAAATACCTAACATAATGTATGGCACATAGCAAACACTCAATATATGGTAGTGTTATTATAATTACCTGTTAACATTAATAACACCTTTCATTTGCATAATATTTCTTCACAATAACTTCTTAACCTACACAAAAGTCATAGTAGTTTACAGAACTCACATTGATTTTCAATATTCCTGGATGTCTGTAAAATTTGAGTACGAACACAGAAAAAACTATAATGGTTCATGCAACCAATTAATATCACTGATGAAGGAAATAAAGGATGTTTTTAGGGCAATTGTATTTAACTTGCTTAAATTCAGTTCAAAAAACTAAGGTATATATCACAAACACTCCTGTAATCCATTATTTCAACTAAGCTTTTTTGAAATTATTGATATTTTTAAGTTGTTTTACTTGAATTTGCTATTTTCAATGTATCTTTAATTACCCACTTTCAACTTTCAGAGGTGTACTATTAATACACCTAACAGAGAATTCCACTCTTCTAGAATTTGATTAATTTTTTTATCCTACCTCTATTTATGGTTCAATATAAAAGGCATTTTTCTAGTCCATACACAATTCCTAGAATTTCCTGGATTTGTAGAATTCAAAAATAAGATTAAAAAATTCTTTGTAATAGAAATAAACAATACACATTAAATGGATGAGATTTATCTTCCACAGACAATTAGTAAGATGTGTGATGCTGTTAAGATCCCATTTCCTAAATATCCACCATGGAGATTAATGCATCTTTCAAATCTTCATCAAAGAAATTTAATGTAACAGCTATAAAGCAAATTGCAATCTACAACACAGTGATCTATCTACAAAGCCCCGAGAAAAGTAGTCAAAATCAAACTTTATCTTGCTTTGTTAATCTAAGGAAAAGGACATAACTGGTTGGTTTAGGTATCCAAGCCCCTTGCGAAGAATTCTCTATAGCAGGGGTGGGGAAACTTTTTTCTGCCAAGGGGCATTTGGATATTTATGACATCAAGGGCCATACAAAATTATCAACTTAAAAATTAGCCTTCTATATTCAGACAAACATTTAATTAACTCATCCCTAATGCCTTGGCAGGGCCAGACCAAATGATTTCGAGAACCTTATACTGTACGGCCCTCGGCTGGACCTTCCCCCACCCCTGCTCTATAGAGATAAGGGATAATTCTTAAGCTTCTACCATAACTTTGATGATGAATACCATTCAAGACTTTCCAAGTTCCTTTTCTTTAACTTTATGATTACCACACAACCTCTACTTACTATTCCCAAGTTCTCAGATACATGAAAGAGTTCACTGGATTTTCAACCTGAAAATTCTAATCACTGGAAAGGGTAATCTTCTATTCCAACATAAACTGGCATTCTAATGTGTACATTCTAATGTGTAAACCATTCCCTTATTTAGATTAGTTTGAGTTGTGTTCCTGAAGTCTGAGAAAACTTGAGTAAAAGTATACATTGGAAGTAAGAGAACTAGACATAATGTCTCATTGACAACTGTTACAATCATCTCTTGGTTTTCTCTCCCTGCCCTTACTCTGCTCCTATAAGAAAGAGAAAGAGAGAGAGAGAGAGAGAGAGAGAGAGATGGTTTTTCTTTAGTCTACTGAAACATAGCCAAACCAAATTTAGGCAGATTCACTTACCCATCAAAATGAGTAATTTTAAAGGAACAATCTAGAACTTAAAAGCAAAACAAGGATGCATGGTTTACACAAGACGCATTTACATTTATTCTAGCCCCAAAAGGAAAAAAAGAAACCTATGATATTCAAATTGTGCTTTCAGACAACATCAGATATTATTCTTAAACTTAAATTATTCATCAACATTATTTATAAAGTGGTTTGGCACATGTGACTCAATTATTCTAAGGTTTAAAAATGTACTTAAGAAACATCCCATGTGGCACAGAGCAGGGTAGGTGCACTTGCATCTGAAGTGCATAAACTGGAGACGTCAAATGAAAACTCAGACGTTGCTCACTGGATCATTCAAAAGGAATTGTGTTATTCCTTCAACAACAACAAAATTCTCTTCCACACTTCAAAGAAGTCAGTCTTACAACAAACACTCCATCTCTTCAATTGTGTCCGCTTACGTTTCATTTACAAGAAGGTTAAAATGCTCATCAAACCCACAGTTCACCTAAGTCCTAAAACAAAGAAACGTCTAGTTAGTATCAGCCTTAAACCTACAGGGCAGAATTCTCTTAGGACCATGATGCCAAGAAATCTACCCAACGGAAATGTTCTCTGCAATCTCCGTTTCCAGAAGACTGAAAGGCTGCAGAGATGCACGAGGATGCTGGAGGGAGCCTGGGGCGGCGAGGGAGCGGGAGGGGTGGAGAGGTAAGTCCCACAGAGGAACTGCCCTGGGAGACTTCGAGAACACAAGGGAGAGGCGGTTAGGTTTAGGGAAAAATAGACTTATTACAGATTACGTATGTTTTCAAAGAGAACTTAGTGATGGTGGTAAGGAAAAATGACATAAAACCTTGAACCCTCCACGGCCGGAGGGAAGGAGAAGCAAAGTAGGAAAAGGGGGGTCGGGGAGAGGGCGGGGAGTGTAAGGGCCTAAAACCCGGATTTGAAAAAAGAACGAAAGCTCTGAGCCTGGTCTTGATCCGGATCTTCTGCCTCTTAAGCGGACCGCAGGGGGGAAAGATCGCACTGCCTCAGGGTTGTAGAGAGCAACGCGCTCACAACGCTAACTAGTCCTGCACAAGAAGATGTCTCCTCTCTCTCCTGGCTTACTCCCGTCTATTTCTTTACCTCTCTCCAGCACCAACGGCACTCCGGCAAAACTCTGCCAATGCCTGCGCCGCAGGTGGACAGCGAAAGGAAAATACCTGAGTCCCAGGAATCACGCAGGCAACGACAGGAGGAGGAGCCGTGGACAACTGGAGTCCGGGCAGGATCCCCGCTTGCCTCTAGTCAAACCTCAATTCTTACGGGTGGGGCAGGGAACTTCCGCCCTGAACCTGGAGACCGTCACTTCCGCCTAGTGCCTCCTCCCCCGCGGCTCCCCCAACACACCTTCTTCGACTACTCGGCTCCAGATACATTCACTAAGCTCGCTATGTTCGCATTGTTCTCACTTCCTTTTCCAGGAGACCTCTGCCCAGTCTTAACACCTGACGTGGACTACATGACCCAGCATTCACCACGGCAGGTTGATTTCCGGGTCAAAAGGTCCGCGCTGGATGCATCACCATGGAAGCGATGGGTTTGGTCACGTGGCGCCCCTGGTTACGCCCGGTGGTAGCTGTGGGGTCTGGGGCTTTGCCGGGGGCCATTTTGCCGAGGGCTTCCGGAGTTGGGGGTGGCCTGAAAGCTGACTGAAGCTGTGTTTTCTCCTCTGCAGCTTGGGGCTTGGAGAGGAACAAGAAGGCTGGGCTCCATCAAACCCTTCGGAGACGATGGTTTCCTCCAGCCTTTGCCACCTAACGACCCACCATGGAGGCTGCGCCCTCCGCGCTGCTCCTGCTGCTTCCCCTTCCAGCCAAATGTTCCTATCGCCCCGAGAGCCACAGCCGTCCTTCCGCCCCAGAGACTGATGAAAGTCGAGGTGCGGGCACCATGAGAGGCGAGAAAAACTGCTGCCGTGGAGCTGCGGGAGATCACGGTTCCTGCCCCTCCACTCCTTCGCCTCTGGCCTCGGCCCTCTTGATGCCCGCGGAGGCTATCTCCAGTAGTTGGCCTGGGTCTGGAGGCGGTTTGTCAGGGGGGGATGAAGAGGAGACTCGGCTCCTTCAACTCCTGCGGACCGCGCCAGATCCTTCAGAGGCCTTTCAGGCGCTGCAGGCTGTTTTGCCGCGGCGTGGCGGTCGACTTGGCTTCCCCAGACGGAAGGAAGCATTGTATCGAGCCCTGGGCCGAGTGCTTGTGGAAGGAGGTAGAGATGAGAAGCGACTCTGCTTGCAACTCCTCTTGGACGTTCTTCGAGGTCAGGGGGAGGCAGGCCAGCTGGAAGAGGCCTTCAGCTTAGCACTTCTGCCTCAACTGGTTGTCTCTTTACGAGAAGAGAATCCGGCCCTGCGGAAAGATGCGCTGCAGATCCTCCACATTTGTCTGAAACGTAGTTCTGGGCTGGTGCTAAGAACGCTTATACAGCAAGGCCTGGAAAGTACCGATGCTCGGCTTAGAGCTGCAACAGCACTGCTGTTCCCGATCTTGCTTACTCCTGAGGACTTGTTGCTGGGCCTAGATCTTACCGAGGTGATAATATCCTTAGCCCGAAAGCTTGGCGATCAGGAGATAGAAGAAGAATCTGAGACAGCTTTCTCTGCACTTCAACAAATTGGGGAGCGACTTGGCCAAGAGAGGTTTCAATCCTATATCTCTCGCCTGCCGTCTGCCCTGAGGAGACACTACAATCGCCGCCTGGAGTCCCAGTTTGGCAGCCAGATTCCTTATTATTTGGAACTTGAAGCTTCTGGATTTCCCGAAGACCCCCTTCCCTGTGCAGTGACCGTTTCCAACAGCAATCTTAAATTTGGGATTATTCCTCAGGAGCTGCATTCAAGATTGTTAGATCAGGAAGACTATAAGAACCGGACTCAGGCTGTTGAGGAACTAAAACAGGTGATGGGACGATTTAACCCAAGTTCTAATCCTCATTCTAGCCTTGTCAGTTTTATTAGCTTGCTGTATAATTTGTTAGACGATTCTAACTTCAGAGTGGTCCATGGCACACTTCAGGTTCTGCATTTACTGGTTATTCGCCTTGGAGAGCAGGTACAGCACTTCTTGGGACCAGTTATAGCAGCTTCTGTCAAAGTGCTGGCAGACAACAAGTTGGTGATCAAACAAGAATACATGAAAATCTTCCTCAAGCTCATGAAGGAAGTAGGTCCTCAACAGGTGCTTTGTTTACTCCTGGAACATCTCAAACATAAGCATTCCAGAGTTCGAGAGGAGGTGGTGAACATTTGCATTTGCTCCCTCTTGACGTATCCCAGTGAGGATTTTGACTTACCCAAATTGTCATTTGATCTTGCCCCAGCTCTTGTAGATAGCAAACGCAGGGTGCGACAAGCAGCTCTGGAAGCCTTTGCTGTGTTGGCATCATCAATGGGCTCAGGTAAAACCAGCACCCTTTTCAAAGCTGTGGATACTGTTGAACTACAAGATAATGGAGATGGAGTGATGAATGCTGTGCAGGCCAGATTGGCTAGGAAAACCCTCCCAAGGTTAACGGAACAGGGATTTGTGGAGTATGCCATACTCATGCCATCATCTGCCCAGGGTAGGTCAAGCCATTTGGCACATGGAGCAGATACAGATTGGCTTTTGACTGGTAACAGAACTCAGAGTGCATACTGTCCCTGTGGTGACCACACAAGGGATAGCATGCAAATTTATGGATCTTACAGTCCAACTATCTGTACCCGGAGGGTATTAAGTGCAGGAAAAGGGAAAAATAAATTACCATGGGAAAATGAGCAGCGTGGAGTCATGGAAGAAAACCAGACCTCCAATCTGAAGGATACAGAACAGGTATGCATCCCTAATTTCCTTGTATTGATACTAAAATAATTTAAAATGAAAGTATGCCTGTAATTTAAGGGTTATGCTGCTTTAGAGTTGTTATGCTTTATTTTTAAATTAATTTGAATGCTGATGTGGGTATTATAATGGTACAGGTCACATAGGAGTGTTTAATAGGCTTTTTGTTTGATGGATTTGATTAAATTCTAGGCACAATGTGATATAGACAATAGCTGGATTTCAGTTTTAACCGGTCACTTTGGCTTATCAGTGATCTCATTCAAACAACAAGCACTAATTATCTAGTAAGAACCAGTTAAAGAGCTAAGTTCTGGGAATGAAAATGAGACCAATTCCACCAAGTCAGACCTGTAAACAGGCAATTACAAATTTGTTAAGTGCTAAAATAGAAATAGTCTTGTGGGAATACTGAAAACAGGAAAAATAATTCCACTAGAAAAGTCAAAAAAAGCCTTTGGAGATGTGACATCTGAATTGAAATTCTCCCCCACGCCCCTCCCAAAGTTTTTATTTTGAAATGTTCAAATCTACAGATAGCTTAATAGTACAGTGGATATTCATATACTTAATCTATATATACACACCATTTGTTATCCTCTTGCCATATGTACTCTATATTTGCCAAACCAATTGAAAGTGCAGATATCTTAACATTTCACTCCTAAATATTTCTACATATATCTCCTAAGAATGACATTCTTCTTTGTAACCATCATACCACTATCATTCCTCAGAATAGCAATAGTAATTCAGTAATATCTAACATATAGCCTGTATTTAAATTTCTCTAGTTGTCCCAAAATGCGTTTCATAGTATTTGTTTTACTTTTGTCATATAGGATTCAATCAAGGTAATGTGGTTAATATGTATCTCTTATCTACAATATGCCCACCTGTTTGTTTCTTTGTTTATTCATGACATTGAGTTTATTTGAAGAGTTTGGGGTAGTGTTTTGTAGAATTTCCCACGTTCTTAATTTATCTGATTTTTTACTTATTCTTAATTTATCTTATTGTTTCCTTATGAGTACATTAAACATAAACAGTTTCAGCAGACATACTCCATAGGAGAGATGTTGTGAACTTAACATTACATCACACCACAAGGCATATAATACTAGGTTGGCCCACTATTGGTGATGCTAAATTTTATCATTTGCTCAAGGTGGTGATAGCCAGATCACACCATTGTAGAGGTTTATTTTCCTCTTTATAATTAGCACATGATCTGCAGGATATTTTGTGACTTTATTAATACCTCAACAACCTTTCACCCACTGTTCTTAGCATTTCTTAATGATCCTTACCTGTATCACTTACTACATTAGGGGCTACAAAAAAAGGGTAACTCTTTTAAAAATTCTAATATTTCTCCTATATTTGTTACCTGGCATTCTTTTTAAATCTATATGTAAATAATTATATCAATATTCTTTTTGATGCTAAAATTGTTTCAAAGATTTAACAAGTGTTTGGCTTCTATATCTTTGACATGGCTCTTTTAGTTTGTGAACACTTCCTTAACTTAAACATAACACTTGCCCAGGCTTACCTCACACTTTTATTGCTCCAGACATAGAATCAACCTTTTTTTTTCTTCAAGGGTTCTAGAATTGCTTTTTTAGTGAAGAATGAAATTTAAAAACCAAAGTTTGGGTATAGATGTACTCATTACTACTGCCTACTATTGCAAATTGGCCTTTTCACCTGACAGAACCAGAGAGTACCTTTTTTTTTTTTTTAATGAATTCATGCTGATACCTTCCAATTCAACACTACAGGGTTCTTCCTCATCTAATTTTAGTTCATGTTTGTATCTCTCACAATAAAATTCTGATTCCCAACACTAGTCATATTTATTCATATGCTGTATCCTACAATACACAAAAAATAATTACTATACCAGTAACACAACTACCTACCTACCTATTAAATAAAGTTCAAGATTTCTTTGCAGTATTTTTTCTGCTTAGAAATATTCCACAGTTAGAATTATATGTTCAAACTTTTCTTAAATTGTTTTCTGGGTGATTATGACTCAAATAGTGTGATAGAAGATGAATAGGAGTTCGCCAAGTGTGCATGGGTCCTGGTGAATTTCAGAACAAAAGAATGTATGTTCAGAGATACTGAGTTACGAAAAGACTTAGCAAATTAAGAAATGGCGAGTTTCTGCATAGCTGAATAAGGCATTTCAGTGGGAGTAGCAGAAGATGATAGTAGAATGTAGGCAGGGGCAGAGTATGGAAATCATTTTTGCAAATAAGGAATTCATACTTTTTGTGGTTGACCTCAGAGGGATTGAGATGAACTAAGTGTTCTCTTTCATTCCTTCCAGTTCCAAAATTTATAGTTTTTAAAAATAATTTTTAGATTTGCATAATGTAGTTATACAGTTATACTCATGTATTGTAAACATTACCTGGCAGTGGATGATTTTCTGTAAGCATTGATCGTAACACGGCTTGTTATGCTTCAAGTCTGAAATGTTAATGTATTAAGATTATGGTCCTGGCCA